CCCCCCCCCCCTTCCATTTAGTTCGGCCAACTTACCAAGCCATGTACCACGTTCACCATTGTCGTAGACTTTGCGACACTGAAGATCTGGGTCATGTGCACCACGCCCCAGATGGTTGCGATAAAGAGGACATACATCACCTGCCAGAACGTGTTATGTTTCGTAGCAGGAGACACAGCCATGAGAGGGAGGGTTGCGGGAGGCCATGGCGTGCATGAGCAGCTACAATTCATACCTCAACACAATAATTGTCCACGTGAACACGAGTCAGCAGACTTTCAGATTCCCTGTGTGTCCGACCAAGAACATGCATCTTGCCCCCATCGCGAGGTGCAGAGAATGTACTATGGTGCAGCTTCGTGGATATGAACAGTGCTTGTACAAACATAACAGACAATACCGGGCCGTGAAATAGCTCTTGTGACAACTGTACCCCATGCACCATATTGCCTACTTTGCTCGATCGTTGCAGAAAACAGAAACTACTACTTCGAAGTAAAAAATAGAGACTATTCAAGATCCCCGTACAAGTTGATTCATCAAGAGTTCATGTACAAATTGATTCATCAAGAGTTCAAAATATACCCAACACCTTGGTGCACGTGAGTGTCGTGTCGTCTTCGTTCAGATCCTCAATATATTGCACACGGATGCTGTACGGACAATATTAATCATAAATCTCTTCGATCAACGCACGGGACCCTGAATATCCGACGAACCGACAGACGACGAACGACAGCAATTTTTTCGAAATATTTTGCGTCAAGTGTTCAAGCAATGCGAAAGCCTGAATTGCGAACACGGCGGCAGCGTTTGATTTATTTTTCGTCCGCTCTGCGACAAGCTAAGCGACGTCCGGCCGGGCTAGTACTGAGATGGAAGACAAGGAGAGAACTGTGATGTTGGCCTTGATGGGTGATCTCGGTTGTGCGACAAAGCAAACATCACGCCTGGACCATACTGCCTTAATACCGCCCGTCGCGCCGGTGGTCTAGTGGGTAGCCTCGCAGCCTGCTAAGGGCCAGGTCATGGGTTCGAGTCCCGGCAGAGTGAGTTTTTTTCTCACTAAATAAATCCTGGTCTAGGATGAACGCGACGCGTTGCAAAGCTCGTTGTTAGTAAGCCATAATCGACTTCGTAAGTCGCGAGGGAAGGGATTGCTGTACCCTTCTCGCGATAAAAGATACCTCAGGCAGGAACCGCAGGAGGGGGTCCAACCCCCCCCTCCTATGTGACCTCAGTTGGGTCGTATAGCTAGTAGAAGTGGAGGATAGGGGCCAGAGGGGCAGACGACAGAGTCCAATGATGGGAGAAAAAGAAAAAAAAATATATACCACTTTGACCATACTGCCTTACCACCACTTTGACCACTTGGGGTCCAAAAAATCTTGTCCCGCGATTGTTGCGCAAAAGCTGACCTAGGCCATGCCCGACTATGTGAACACGGTGGTGTCCGTCTTAATCAACGACGCCACGGAGTTTAAGAATGCGCCACACCACTAGCGTCCAATCTTGCATATTTCCCAGTTAGACCCAGCGAGTGGGTATGGTGGTGTCGAAGTGCATCACTGCTCGCGTTGCGGACTACACACATTTGATTTGCTTCGCGGGGAAGCAAATGTCGAACACTCTCCGCCTTTCGCACGTGTTGCGACTAAAACACACCTATTGATAGAGGAAACGGCAAGCAGCTGAAACGTTTTTGGTTGTGTTGGGTAGGGTAGGCTATCACACAAGCAGAATGTCAAGTTATGGTGGCGCGTTTTTTGCTGCATGCTGCGTTGGCGTTTTCATTGACGGCGCGTCCGTGGGCTGGGCATGATAGTGGAAGTTGCGTTTATGGGCCTTTGCGGATAATAGTCAGAGTGCTGATGACTATAAGGAGAACGGTCACCAGCAGGTACCATCTCACCTGCTATAGTAGGTGTTGTTCATGCAAGTTCTTGGTTCAGAAATACGTATGATCAGGGGAGGCTAATGTGGTGAGAACGGGATTCAGTCTAGTCTTCAGGGCGTGACCTTGGAACTAAGAACAACTGTCAGCATTTTTTTCTGCGTGCATGGACGACTGGACCGACCAGGGCAGGGCAGTAGACAAGAACCAAGGGTACGGTAGGGGTGACGTGACCAAGGGCAGTTATCGAATATAGACTAAGCTATAAGCCAATAGCTGGAAGGTGCACCACCTTAGGCACAAGTTGAACCAATCAGAGAGAAGAGTCGAGGCATGTCATAGATGACGCAAGTCTCTGTAACGACATTTGAGGTGGGACCATCTGGAAGCTTAGCTCTGTTAAGCCTCGCTCACACGATGATCACTCTTGCTTGCTACCCTCAGTTCGACACTTCCAGAGCTGTGTGCAGAATCGCCGCGATTCGCAATATGAGCCGAACTGCCGAGCCAAACAACGCTTGAATGCAAGTGTATGCAAACATCCAAGCTAGAACCTGCAGAAGTAAAGAGGCGGAACTACAGTAGTTCTCCCCACAGATGGGTTTCGGATTTCTCATTCTCATGTAGGCGTTTTTGTTACGGGACAGAACCTTGAGATTTCGGAGAGACCCTGTTGGCCTGCCGAGTTATCCACGTGTTCCACCATGGCCAAACGTAAAAAGTGTTCTCCCTTTGCCTCAGACTTGTACTTATTGAGGGCACCGCTTAGATCTGCAGTACCACACGAGTACAATACAAAAGCAGTCTCGGGAGTTATCTTGGAATGCACAGGACATGCGTGACGCATCGATGTGGCTCTTGCAAGCATCTCAAGGTCATGTGTTTACAGATTGTTCACGCACAGCTGATATACGTGAAAGCTTATACACCACCACCCCCAACGCGCTTTGGTTCAGGTGCACAGAGTGAGGCAGGAGAGCGCGGCACCTATAACTTACCGGTAGCAAATGTCGAGGAATCCGCTGGCTGGGAAGGAACGCGGAACGTTGACTTATTTTTTTGTAAGGGCGGTGGAACTACAAGTACGTCCAGCGACAGGGAGGCAGGCCCGTTTTGTGTATCATGGTATGTATGTAGAAATTTAACAATTGCAGCAAACCAGCAATAACGTCAAGTAGGAAAACTGTGCGCTATGTCCTCCAGCCAGCAGCAGTACTATCGAACGCATGCAAACAGCGAAGAGTAAACAAGGAGGTAACTCAACTCACCCACGTATACGAGTTCTGAATCCACTCAGTGTTCTTGTTCGACATTCCCCCCGCTGAAATGTCGCCGTGGAGAGAGTGGTCTCCGTCCGAGCTGACAGCATACTTTCGCTGGTACAAGAGGTCTTGCTCCGACGACATCGAGTGACCTCCTAGTCTGCCAGCTATGCTTGACCTCCTCCACACAGGTAGTAGTTGATGCCAATGGGAGTTTGCCCCGGCTTCAGCGGTAAGCAGAACAGCAATCAACGCGTTGCCGCGCGGTGTTTGGTATTGTAATGTCAACTTCAATCCTATTGCTCTCCTCTTCGAAATCCTCTGCGTCCCAATTTCAGTTGGCAGGCACTTTAGATCCTTGCCCCTTGTGCTTTGTAAAGGTGCCAATGGATGGAAACTTGGACCCCAAAACAGTGAGGAGAGACAAGCCACAAGCCAGCAGCAGGATAGCAGTGAGTGTTGCAAGCTCAAGCCGTGTTGGCAGGTGTTGGAGCTTGGGGGCTCCGGTGCACAATCCTGAAATGCCCCCCTCCCCCGCCTGCCCAACCAAAGCGATGTGGATTTTTTCGCATCCCGATCTATTCCACATCATCCCTTACCTACTATTATTTCCTGAAGCGTCGCTCGTTGTCGCGACCTACCCTTCTGCGGCCTTGCATTCATAGCTCCAATCATACAGAGGGAATATTCTGTGGTAAATGTCTGTCTATGTCTTCAGGTTTGAACGCGGCAAGGGTTCCTCAGCCAGCGGATTACACTCACCAATCATTCCCATTCATTATGCCCTCCCTTCTTCCCCTCGCTCCTCGACAAGCTTTTGCTTAGACATGGATGGGTTGTAG